GGTGGGTGGCGGCAGGGACCATCTATCAACCACCTCAGCAGTCCTCAGCTCTGGGAAGAAAAGCCACTTCTTTCTCATGTTTCCTGATCAGAGGTTAAGCTTACCTGTCCCTTCTCTTCCAGGTGGCGATCGAGTTTGACCAGAACGTCTCCATTGCGTTCACCTGCCTGAGTGCAGATTGCAAGGTCGTGCATGAATACATCGGTGGTTACATTTTCTTGTCCACCCGCTCCAAGGACCAGAATGAAACGCTCGATGAGGACCTGTTCCACAAGTTGACTGGTGGTCAGGAATGAAGCAAAGCCGGCCACCTTGGACTTACACACCAAGGGTGAGCTAAAGGCAGTCTTCCTTAGATGATGGGATCCGTGGCTTGCACAGTGTGTGGGTTCCAGACTAACAGACAACCACAGGTCACCCCGATCCTCACCTCATTTCAAACACACTGCCTTGCACACTCCTTTCCTTACTTTGCCCTGTGCTACCAGCAGTGGAATGAGCCTCAGTTTCCTTTTCTGTAAAATGGGAGGGCGGGAGAAAAGGGAATCTGCAAGTGTATGGCTAGAAGTTGTCCTTGTGCATATCTGCTTTGTTCCTAAGTCAGTGTAAAAAAAAAATAACAGAATCTTTAAAAGCATGAATATAGCAAGCATATATTTTATTCCACAAAATCAGATATGAAAAGAAATAGGTTGTTCCTTAACTGCTTTTAGTTCCCACCTTGTGAAAATGGCAGGAGTGTACACATAAACATTTTCCCTGGAGGTCAAGGTATGGAAGTGGTGAGGGCAGAGGTGGGGTTACCTGGCACCAGTTGGTTGCAAGGGGTCAAAACTGATGGCCCTCAGTGTCATCAGTCCACACTGACTTGCCAAAGTAACCATTGACCCATCTGGTCTTAGACATTTCCTCTAAGGTTACTGCTGCCACCCACAAGTCCCATTCCATCCTGGGGATCCCTCAGCCACCTTTAAGCCCTTCTCAATGATGTGGGTGACACGGGTCCAGGGAACCCATTCCTCAACTCAGCTCCATGTTCCACTGCTTCTACTCTGGGTCAGGGCTCAGGAAGACAGGCCCAATTCTCTCTGTTCATAAAACCACCTCCCCACATCCAGACTTCCAATGAGGTCCCCATCCCAAATGGTCAGAAAGAAAAGGGCAGGACACAGGCCAGGCCCATTCTCAAAGACCACCAGGTTCAAGGGCGGACAGCTTCGCCTCTGGCTTCCATCTGTGAGGCCTGTGGCTGGTCTGAGGGGCAAGGAAGCCTGCTCTTATCACTCATCAGTGTTCTCCAGAATTTGGTGTCTGTTTATATGACTCTTGGCCTTCCCCCATAAAGGCCTCGCCTTTCGTAAATCAAAAGCCAATGGTAGACTTCTTTCCTCTCTGCCTTAAGACATGAGCGTGGGTCAGTTAACAGCTGCCTCGGTTGTCGTTTTCTGTTTTGGTTTGTCAGTGTTGGGAGGAGTGGATTTTGAGAAGGTAAAAAGCAATATTGAGGGTAGAGGGAATATCAGATGGTATTTAATTATTTTTTTTATAAATGTTCTGTCACACGAAAGACTTGGGTTGCCAAGATAAGGCAGAGGTTCTATTTCCATTTTGAAGATCCCTAGGATGCAAATTTCAGGGGGCCTGGCTGGATCTCAGATGCCAGAAAACATCAGCTAGCCGTCGCTTTATTTTCCAACAAAGCTTTTTGAGAAGAAAGATCCCCAGAATTCCTGGTGCTGCATTGATGCAGCCTTGGACAAGGACCCCCAGGCCCTGAGCCAGAAGCTGTCACTGGAAATTCCTCTTTCAGCCTCTCCTTAGAGGTGAATGTTGAAGACTCCCCAGGCAACAGCTGAACTTCTCAGGCCTTGCTTGAAAGCTCAGAGGTGGCATAGGCACTTGGAAAATCTGGTGTATGTCATAAAGAACTTAGTTTGAAATGTTTTATATGGAAACTAGTGCTGAGTCTACTGTGTTAAACTTGATCATTTGTGTAGCATCCTGGGCTCTGTTATTTTAGAACCTAGTCAGGTCTTTAAGATTACGTCAGGCCCTACATTCAAATAATACTCCTTGATGTCACATTTCACCTGTCTGCTGCCAGGTACAGCTCTGCAGAACTTACCAAAGCCAGACCTTCAGTACAATCCTCTTTCTTAGCTCTTCAGGGTTGTCTGACATTTCCACAAATCCACTCAAAGGAGTTGAGTGGCTTTAACCAAATGTTCAGGGAACATTTTTAACTGCTGCTATTCCAAAGAGCAACTTAAAGATTTTTTTTTTTTTACTTTGGGTACAAAAGGTCATCTGACTACTTATGCTGAAATTTTAAATTAACGTGTGACATTCAACCCCATTTGCTTTATGTAAACTAGATTGGATAATCTGGGTTTTTTTTTATATAACTTTTTTAATTAAATGGTTTACATGGATTTGAATATGGTCTAGTGTACTCTCTCTGGTCTGCTGTCTCTCAAAAAAATGTAAACATTTTCTCCACTATGAAATAGAAGTACAACTTTCAGGTTTAACATGTGTTTTCCTCAAAATTCCAAGATTTGAGCTCCTTCTCCCCAGTGAAATTGACTTAGAAACCTGTTGGTTTCAACTCCTTTCTCATTGACTGTCACCAGATTTCTTGACGTATCGTGAGCTCTTTTGTTCCAGGTCTACCTTTTGAAAAAAGCACCAGAGAACAAGGAAATGTCCAGAGGCAGAGGAGCATCAGAGGATCTCTGATTTGAGAGCCGAATGTTAAGGACATTTCTTTTAGTTGATAGATGGTCCATACCTGTGATGTTGTAGTTTATAGATACCCCTTCATGCATTTCTCACATCAACCCATAGGGGGCAGGAACGGTTTACCTTCTCATTTCACAAAGGAGAAATAGGCTCAGATGAAGTAATTTGCTCAAGGTCACGTCCCCAGTAAGCAGTGGAATGGAGATTCAAAGCCAAGTTTGTCTTCAAAAACCACTAAGCTTAAACCAGAAAACCCCACCCTTCCATTTCCAGCCCTACTCAGCCTTGAAATGCTTGCCCCCACCCCAAGCCCCTATGCAGTCATCCGGAGTCAATGCCCTCTATTCTCTGGTAGGAGAGAGTGAGAAGCATTAGGGGATTGGCTGCCCCAAAGTTAGCTGGGGGAGGTGCAGGTGGATCAGAAAGATCTAGGAACCAGAGACGTGAGTTGCCTAGTTAGCATTCTATTTATGATTCTGAATTTATTTTTTATTGATCAGTTTCATTTTCGGTCCCAAAGTCAAAAAAGTGAGCAAATGAGTCTTTCATCTGAAAACTCCTCTTTGAGTTGTAGGCCATAAAAGCCAAGATATCTAGTAATATTTATTTTATAAAATCACTAAAAAAAAATTCTTTAATTATGACTCCTTTTTTTGCTTCAGTATATTTAACATCTCTTACTCATTTTCACCATTTTCCCACACAAACACGTGATTTTTCTGCCTCCTCCCCTCCCCCTCTAACACCAGAATCTCTCCAGCAGAGTAGGGGTGGGAGGGAGCATCCTTCTTTGCTATTTTGCCCCTTTTTCCCCTTGATGCCTCCTACTACCAAGGGCTGTTGAGTTCTAGAAATCATGGATGGAAAAACTAAAGTTTGGCATCTGGCCCTTTCTTATGTTAAAGTTTCCCCATCCCCTTTCTCAGCACCATATACCTCACGGAGGTGTGGAAATACTGAGTGCTTTCAAAAGAAAAAAAAAAAGACAGCCTGCTCTCTATCTGCACTCACGAATGCCTGTGCTGGCCTCAAACTCCCATTGTTGTCGGGATAATAGGTTCTTAGACTTCTTTAAAGAAGAACGCTTCTCGCTGAATGAAAGTTAGGATTCTAATAAATTGAGCCCAGAATTCCATGGAAGTCACTTTGGATAACAGTAGATTAGATGAATTGGGAAAAGCCTTCTTTAGTCTCCCCACATTTTCCCACACATTTCCTGATGTATCAAGACTCAATCACCTGAACCCCTATAAATTAAAACACACCTAAGCACAATGGTAATTAGAGGTTTCTCTTTAGAATCACGAATGCTCCTGACTAATAACTGTGAGAAAGATTCTTTAGACTAAACAGATTTACTTCTTTCCTCTGACTTGCTGTGTGACTCTGAAGACCCATAATTCCCGTGTCCCTGTATGCCTCCATTTCTTCAATTGTTACAGAGGAAAAAATCCAGTAGCCACTTCCCTTCAGGGGACCTCCAAACATAGAATGTTGTCTGGAAACTTAGCAGGATATGATTTCGGCCAGAGAAAGTTAAGCAGTGAGGCCTTCAGCTGCTCCCTGAAATCCCTGAGACACAAAACTATGCCCTGGGAAGGAGACAGAGCCATTGAGAGGAGCCCAGGGCCTGGAGGGAGGGGAGGGTTCAAAGCCTAAGCCTGTGTGGTCTGATTCAGAATCCTGGTGGCCCCAAACAGGAGCCATAACAGGAAGGCGAGTGAGGTTACAAAAAATTTTTAAATGTCTAGAAATTATATGTGTGTGTGCATGTGTGTACATACACACAGAGACATTTGAGAAAAGAGTTGGGGGTTGCAACAGGGCCTGGGGTCAGGCCTCAATACATATGTACAAGTGTTGGTGATGGGGTGGCAGGAAACCACACTTGTACCCACTATGACCAATAGGAGAGAACAAGGACACTCTGCAGGCAACACTGGAAGCTCAGGAAGCCAGGGCTCTAACAGTGGGGTATTCCAGGAACCCGGTAGGGCTGGGAATGGAGGTCTGACAAGGTGCTTACAAACGGATCTTGGATCTCCGTGCCACCACTTCCTAAAATGTTTCCAAAGAACCAATATTGGCAGCCAGGCCAACCCATATGACCCAATGTTATCTTAAATAGTGTAGCAGAACCAGTGTTTCTTTCTAGAAGTTACGAAGCCCACACAACCAGCTTCAAAACAGAAAGTACCCTCATTGCTATTGAGAGTTGAATACTGAGCATTCATAGACTGCAATGTGAGGCCTTGCTACTCGAAGTGTGGTCCTTGGACCAGCAGCATCTGTCAGAAATGCAGAATCTCACAGGACCAGGACCAGAGTGAGTCAAGTGAGGCACCCAGGGCACAGCATTTAAGGAGGCCCCCACCATAAGGGCCGCACAATGCCACTCCAGGCGCCTTCTTGCCTCACCCTAGTTGCAGCCCCCGAGTCCTACCCAGGCATTCTGAATCAGACTCTGCATTTTAACAAGACCCTCAAGTGATCTGTGTACACAGTAAAGTTTGAGAAGCTCTGGCCTAAGATTTGTGGCATGGCTTTGGCAGGGAGGATGCCAGACACTAGCGGAATTGTCAAGGAAGCGTGCAAATGCCATATACCCTGCAAGCCAGTGTACTGGGTTGACTAGTGTTCCCCAAAACTTCATGTCTACCCAGAACCTGTGAACGTGAGACCTCATTCGGAAATAGGCGCTTTGCAAATGTAATCAAGTCAAGATGAGGTCGTACTAAATGGGGTGGGCCATAAATCTAATATGACTGAGGTGGAGAGATACACAGAGACAGGGAGAAAGAAGGCCATGTCGTGGTGGAGATGGTGGAGACAGAGATTAGAGTGATGCAGCTACAAGCCAAGGGATGCTGGCAACCACCAGAAGCTAGGAAAGGCAAGGAAGGATTTTCCCCAAGAGCCTTCAGAGAGAGTCATGGTCTTTTGGACACCTTGATTTCAGACTTCTAGATTCCAAAACTGTTTGAAGGAATACATTTTTGTTTTCAACCACCAGGCTTGTGGTCATTTGTCATGGCAGTTCTAGGAAAATAATGCAGCCAGAGTTTTCACATCTTTACAAATGGGGATGCTGCCTTCCTTACTATGTCACTGGGTTATTGGAAAGAATATATGAGAGAATGATGTAAAGATGCTTTAAAAACTATAAAATGCAATACAAATGTGAAGTGCTATTATTTTTAGTGAAAACATATTTTCATTTATAAAATTTAGTTGTTTTTATGTAGTTTTTTTCCAAAGAAGTGTGATAGTTCGTGTGATAAATTATTGTGCAGCAAATACTTGCTCCCTTCCCACTGTGGGCTTCTTGCTCCATTGACGTGGGCTTGGCCGTATGACTTCCTCTGGCCAATGGGGTTTTAGAGGGTATGATGTGAGCAGAGGCCTCCAATGTGCT